AAAAAAACAAAACAAATATCTCTGCAATACAATCATCTAATGTTTAGGATTGTTGACAACATAACGTGGCTGTTGCCTAGGTTACAGAAGATAAATTAGTTGGAGGTATAGGGAGGAGGTGACTCCTTGGGTGTGTCCTTCACTGCATCTTCGTAGTTTGGTAACAGATTCTGTGTCTGAAGAAAGAAGGTATTAGACTGAGTAAATCTTTGCTGGACAGATCAACATAATTTTTATAGTGAAAGAGTAAGAGAATAAGCCCTTCATTACATTGAACAACATTTACCTCGTTTTCATCTGATTGAACATGAAACAGGAATGCATTGGTGGCCTGCTTCACACGGAAATTGACCAGAATTTTGTAGCATGACCAAACACAGCCAATGAAATAGGCCTGAAAGATAAATTTTATATAGCATATTAATTATTTTGAAAGTGCATTGAAGTTTGTTTTTTGTCACATATTAAATTTACTATCTTTGTCAACAAACAGTTCTTATTCATATCATTTTAGATAACAGTTCCTTAAGTATATAGTGAGGTGCACACTGAGATTAAACAAGAGCATGGAAACTGAAGTTTATTTCAACATGATCAAATGTGACCAGTCAAGTCCCCAGTCAGGCTAGACAACGTCCGATGACTGGCCACTGTTTCCAATTACAGCGTAAATGTATGTTACTTCTGAATGCATAAGCCTTAAGTCTGGTTGTCACTAGTGACACAAGCACAAGCACAAAGACAATAATTCTTATTTGACTGTGAAAACGGCCTTGACACAGGCATAAGCACAAGTATCAAAATTTTTCTCTTTTTCTTGTGCTTGCGCTTATGCTTACGTTTGCCCTGCATCTGGTGAAAACGAAATACTGCTCGGGCATAACACAAGCACAAGGGTATTTACCACACATGGTTATGTTTGGCCAATGAAAACACTGGATCCAGATTACCTTGCACCTAAATGGTTTGGAAGGTTCGGTTGATTTAGCTTGTTCTTGTGTTTGCATCAAATTTTGTTTTCACTTGGGTCATCCCTATTGCTTGCATTTGTGCTCGCACTTGTGCTTGCGTCGCTAGTGGAAACGAGGCTTAAGTTACACTATAGATCTGAAGTTTCCCTCCACTTTTAATGTGAACACGGAAGCTGCTTTCTAGCATTACTTAATGAGAGGTGGAACACACATTGTTTAAACTTACTTTGATTGAGAGAATGGCAACAGACACCACTACCACAGTCATCATCAGAGTCCTCATGTCCACTTTGTCCACAGCTTCACCAAAAGGAAAGTTGGGCTATAAAAATGCACCAGCAGTTTAATACTCCAATCATTCTTTTATTTCAGCGAGACAATACAGTGGAACCCTGTTAATACAGTCACCAACGGGCTATGAAAATTTGGCCATATTAACAGGGTGGCCATATCAATGAGGTGGCCGTATTAATGGGGTAGGGTCAAACCTCATGACTGGTCTAAATTGAGTGACCTCTTAACAGATATATCAC